GAGCTGAGATTTTAATGAAGCTAGAGATTGCAAAAGACAGAAGTGAGGATGAGGGTAGTTTAGGCATGGGGAACACCCTTAGGCTTAGAGACAGGACATGAGACTGAAAGTAATTAGTAAGGAACATAAAGTAGGAGAGCTGGGCTAGAACATAGAGTATATGAAGGAGACTGATGTGTAATGTATATAGAAAGGTGCTCACCTGAGCAGAAAGCAAGACTGTAGACTAAAGGGAAATGCTTCATTTTCAGTCTCTCTTCCCTATAGACTCTTGACCTACGTTATATTCTGGAGACTTGAATGTGCCTGGAAGCCAGCTGATATCAGTTTCCAACCAAAAGCATTGGATTTGGAATCAGAATTTGGTTTAGAACTTGGCTTTGCTACTTAATTCAGCCTACTTACCTGTTTGGAGAGAGAGACGGAGAGATAGACAGACAGACAGAGACACAGAGACAGAGACAGAAAGAGACGAAGAGAGAAAAAGAGAGACAGAGACAAACAGAAACAAAGACACAGAGACAAAGACAGACACAGAGGCAAAGAAAAGAAGAACAGAGATAGATCAGAGACAGTCAGAGACAAGAGAAGGAAGGAGACAGACAGAGAGAGACAGAGATATAAACAGAGAGAGACATAGAAAGACAGAGACAAGGGAAACAAGAGAGAGGAGAAATAGGAAAGCAACAGAGTCAGAGACAGGAAGAACAAGAAAAGGGAGGGAGAGAGGGAGAGAGAGAGAGGGAGAGACAAAGACAGACACAGAGACAGACATGCAGAGACAGAGATAGGAACAGAAAGAAAAAAATAGGCACAGACAAAAAAAAGAGGTAGAGAAACAGAATCAGAGACAAGAAAGACAGGAAGGAGACATAAGAGATAGGATGAAGTCAAAGACACAGAAAAACAGCAGAAAGACAGAGACAAACAGATGATGGACAGAGATAGAGAAAGTTAGGTACAGAGTCTTAGGAATGCCTGGTTGAAAGTGGGGCATGGGTGAAAAAGCAGTGAAAAAGACTGAGAAGAAATAGCCAGAGAAGTAAGAAATGAAGTAGAGAGATCAGTGACATGGAAACACAGAGAAGAGAAAGCCTTTAGGAGGAATGGCTAATTAATAGTGTCAAATCCTGCAGCAGAGTCAAGAAAGATGAGGCTTGAGAGAAAGCACTGAGATTGGCAATTAAAAAATCATTGGTAATTTGGAGAGAGCAATTTCAGTTAAATGGTAAGGTCAAAAGCCAGATTCTAAGGGGTTGAGAAGTGTTTGAGAGGAGAGGAAGTGGAGGCAACTTGTATAGATAACTTTTTCTGCAAGTTTGTCTGTGAAGGGAAGAAGAAATACTGGATGTGAGTTTTGAGGGGGTGGTAGGGTCAAGTGAAGGGTTTGTTTTCTTTTTTAAAGAATAAGGGAGTCCAAGGCATGTCTATAGGCAGAAAGGAAAGAGACAGTAGATATAGGAAGACACTAAACAGTAGAGAGAAAAAAAGTATTTATAGCAGCTCTTTTTTGTGGTGTCAAAGAAGTGGAAACTGAGGGGATGCCCATCAACTGGGAAATGGCCGAACAGGTTGTAGTATATGATTGTGATGGAATATACTATTATGCTATAAGAAACAATGAGCAGGACAGTTTCAGAAAAACCTAGGAAGACTTGTATGAACTGATGTAAAGTGAATTGAGCAGAACCAGGAGAACATTGTACACAATAACAGCAATATTGTACAATGATCAGCTGTGAAAGACTTAGCTACCCTGATCAATACAAGCAATGATCCAACACAATTTTGAAGGATTTATGATAAAAAATGCTATCCATCTCCAGAGAGAGCACTAATGAAGCCTGGTATAGATTGAAATGTAATTTTTTCACCTTCTCTATTTGTCCTGCTTTTTCTTGTAGCATGGCTAATATGGAAATAAATTTTTCATGATTTTACACGTATAATTGATATCACATTACTTGTCTTCTCAATGGCTGGAGGGAAGAGGAAAATTTGGAACTTAATATATATTTTTTAAATTAATGTTAAAAATAAATAATAAATGCATTTTTTAAAAAGAGGAATGATTGGGAAGGGGCAAACTTCTGGAAAAGGTAGGGATTGGAATCAAAGGCAAAAGTAGGGCAGATGGCCTTAAGCAAGATGAAGGCTACCTTTTCTTCTGCAGCTGGAGTATGGGAAGAGAAAATAGGAGAGAATGTCAAGGAGTTTTGAGATATAGAACAGGGGAAAGAAGGAGCTCTTTGTGAATGGCTTCTATTTTCTCAGTTCTTTGTTAAGAGTGAAGGGTGAAGGATTTTATGGGGGGATGAGGAGAGAATAGAAGGTTTGGGACAGATGTTGTGGAGAGAAAAATAGAGAGTCATTACCTCATCTATTTCAGAAATTAGAGATCCTGAACCCAGAAATTTCCTTCTTCTACTACAATCTCCTGTATTTCTATGTCTCTTACTTCCTCCGTCATATATGGAAAACACATTACACTTGGAATCCAAGAAAAGAATAGGATTCAGATCATACGTCTGAAGATTATTAACTATGTGACCATGGAAAAATCATTTAACCTTTGTGCCTCAGTTTCCTCATCTGTAAATTGTGATATTAACACCCGTAGTACCTCCCTCAATTGTGAAGGTCAGCTATAAAGATACGGGTAAATACTTAGTTAACCTTAAAATAACATATGGATTATCCCAAATGAATTAGTGTAGTTTAAAGGCATTAAAATTTAAAAACTGAATTAAGATTTTTGGACACTCTATAGAAAGGTCGACTACTCTTATTTGCTCTATCATATCTTTTAGTTCCCCCAAATCCTCCCTATTCTCCTGGACTAACAATGCTATTTGGCCTCACTTTCTTCCCTATTTGAGTTGACTGTTGAACATATCAATAAGGCCCTTTCATCCACCCTTAACTCCCATGCCACCTAGCCCTTTCATTGTCCCTTAAGCCTGCATAACTCATAGGCTCATAGGAGTTAGCACTAGAAGGAATCTTAGAGATTATTAGTCCATTGGTTCTCAATATTTTTGGTCTTAGGACACCTTTATGCTCTTTTTGTATACTCTTACACAAAGAAAAGTGGATAGAGAACTGGGCCTGGGGACAAGATAAACCTAAGGTCAAATCCAGCCTCCTTACTAGCTGTGTGACCCTGGGCAAGTCAATTAATCTTTATCTGCTTCTGTTTCTCCAACTGTAAAATGAGGATAATAATAGCACCTATCTCACAGGGTTTAATGAGATAATATTTGTAAAGTGCTTGGCCTATTGTCTGGGCACTTAGTAGGCTTCCAATAAATGATTATTTCCTTCCTTCTCAAAAGTTATTGAAGGCACCAAAAAGCTTTGGTTTATGTGGGTTATAGCTGTCAACGTTTGCCATAATAGAAATGAAAACATCTTACTATGATTGTGAAAATAGTTTTGACCTTGAGGATTCCTAAAAGGGTCAAAGTGGCCCCCAGATCACACTTTGAGAATCACTGCCCTAGCCCAACTCTCTCTCAGTTGAAGAAGTTGGCCCAAAGAGACTTGAGGTCACATAAATAGAAGTGGATCTGAATCCAAATTTTGTGTTCTTTCTACTCCATAACTCTCACTATTTTCCTATTATGATGATGCTATGCTCCTGAGCATCTGGGGAAAATCCTACAACCATGCTGAGTTCACTTCACCCTTACCTCAACTGGGCTGTCACACCTGCCCAACGATTTCTATATTCACTCATTATTGATTGTCTACCGCATGCCTCATAATGGCTGCTCCAAATCTTCTCTTCTTTCCCTAGGCCCTTTGGCCCCTCTCAGTAGACAGTCTCACCTTTAGCATGATGCTGCGGGAAAAGCATAGAATTTGGGATAGGAACACATATTCTCTGACTTGGCTGCTTTCTTTTTTTTCTTTTCTTATTTAGTATTTTATTTTTCCCCAGTTACATATAGAAAACTTAACATTTGTTTTTAAAACTCTGTGACTCAGCTGATCTCTATCTGCATGATATTCCTTCATCTCCAGGCTGCACTCTGGACTTTCTCTACCTTCCCTGCACTAGGGACTCCATTCTCTTTTTAAAAAATCTCCTTTAATGTGCTGTCTCCTCCTATTAGAATGTAAGCTCCTTGAAGGCAGGGACTGCTTTTCTGCTTGTATTTGTATTTCTACCACTTAACACAGTGCCTGGCACATAGTAGACACTTCATAAATGCTTGTTGACCTGACTTTGGCATGTCATATCTCTATGTCTCAGTTTACTTATCTATAAAATGAAGGTGTCAGATTAGATGATCTTTAGGGTCACTTCCAGGCCTAGGGCTGTAATGCCATGCCTTTATTAAAAAGATCAAATTTGAGTGATGCTAACTCAAAACCTTTCAGCATCTTTATCCATCATTTTACTCTCCCTTCCAGTTTCAGAGGAAAAGATAATCCTCTTGCAGAGTTTGTCCTTCACAGGTACCAAGTCGTGTAGAATGGGAAGGTACAGAGGAGAAGGGTGAATATTTTCCCCTTCTTTGGTATATAGCTAACCAGAGTGGTACCATAAATCTGAAGGTTTCTGAATAAGTTCCTGGGAAAGTAGGGCTCACTGGAGAGAGAGAGGAGTTAATTCTCTAGTGACCCTAAGAGCTTTCCTCTTACGAGAATTCCGAAGAGGTGAAGCTTAATGCATGCATTAAGTTTGGAGTATTACATAAATCCCCAGAAAAGATGGAATCCCAAGGCAAGGAAAAGAGTTTTCTATTTTATGGACTTAGTTGTAAGTCATTTCTGCTTTCCATTTTCAAATGAAATCAAACCCGTTTTATGTTCTCTGTCTTACTAGCTTTAGTACTTGCGTGGGACCTGAGGACCCTTTGTCTTTTCTGTAGAGATCTGGAAATAGCCTTGTGTGTAGACCGAGAATCATGGTTCTAGGCCATAAGGTACATTTCCTCTCAGGTTTAGAAATATAGCCTGTCTTTTAGCATGCCAACAGGGAGCAGTCTGACCTGTTGGACAGGTAGACTTCACTCAGCTTCTCAAGCTTCTGGATCTGCTGTGACTTCTGATCCTTGAAGGGCTCTGCAGGGAAAAGAAGACGGGAGTCACAGAAGGAGAGAGATCCAAACCCGCCTTGGCTCTCTAAAAGGAGGAAGGTCATAAATGAGAGTCACATTAAAGGGCACATAAAGGGGCAGGAGTCTGTTCCATATGTTTGTAGCAGTTAAGACATGGTTGTAGTTTTTCTGTTTGCATATGTACATATTATGTGTAAACATGTGTATATATACATATATACACACATTTACACATTTAAAAAAGACAGGGATAGGATAAAATTATCTCATTTGTTCGAGCTGTTAGCCATCATTCTGTATCTACGTTCTATATTCTATATATTCCTTTTATAGTCAGACTGCTTGAGAAAGTCATCTACACTCTGTCTCCCCTTTCACTTGATTATAAACTCTCTCCAGTTTGGTTTCTGACACCATCATTCAACTCAAAAGCCAATCTTTAAAGTTTTCAGTGATCTACTTACCAAATGTAAGGGCCTTTTCTCAACACTCATCCTTCTGGACTACTCTGCAGGCTTTGACAATGTCAATCGCCCTCTTCTCCTGGATATTCTCTCCTCTCTAGTTTTTTTCTTATTTTGTTTTGATTTCTTCTTGACACTCTTTCTCCTACCTATCTGACTTTTTCTTTTCAGTCTCCTTTGCTAGATCTTCATCCAGCACATGTCTCCCAAGGGTCTGTCCTGCTTCCTCTTCTCTTTTCCCTGTACTATCTTGATAACCCCATCAACTGCCACGGGTTCAATTATCCTCACTATGTGGATAATTCCCAGATCTATTTATTCAGCTCTAACTCCTCTCCTGATCTCCAATCTCTCATCACCAATTGACTCTTGGAATCTAAAACATAATGTCCTGTAGACATCTTAAACTCATCACCTCTGAAAGAGAATACATTATCTTCCTCTTTTGAACTTCCTTATTACTGTTGAGGGGCTATCACTGTCCTCCAGCTCACCTCAGTTTGCAATCTGCAAATCATCCTTGACTCCCCTTTCCTGTTCATGCCTTGTAATAAATCTATCTGTTGCTCAGTCTAACTGTTTCAGCTTTCATCACATCTCCCCCATGTGTGTTCAATTCTTTCCACTCACATAGCCGCCATTTTGGTGTTGCTCCTTAATACTTCATGCAAGGACAGTTGTGATGGCCTTCTGGTTGATGTCACCTCCTCAAGTCTCTTTTTATTCTAAATCTGCCCCCTCTCAGCCACAAAAGTGATTTTCCTAGGCGTCAGTTTGTCCATGTCACCCTTTCTTATTCAACAAACTCCAATGGTTCCCTCTTCCTTCCAGGATCAAATACAAAATCACCTGTTCATCTCTTGAAGTCAATCATAACCATGACCTTTACATTCTCACATTTTATTCCCTTCCATTCACTCCACCACCTAGCAACACTGGCCTGGTTGCTGTTTCTCATGTACAACATTCTATTTCCAGACTCTGCCTTTTCATTGGCTGTCCCCCACACTTAGAATGCTTGAGTCCTCTCCTCTGCCTCCCAAATTGTCCCGGCTTCCTTCAGGATGGAGCTCAAGTCCTATCTTTTGCGGGACACTTTTTTTAGTTGTGATCCCCATCCATGGTGTATTCTCTCTAATATTACCTTCTATTTACACTGTATCTATTTCATGTGTATAATTCACTCATTTATTTATTTATCCATTATTTGGTTTTGAATTTTGTCTCCCCATCAGAAAGTAAGCTCCTTAAGAACAAGGACTGTATTTTTACCTTTTATTGTTCTTCCTCTCCCTGGGGCTTAGGACAGGGCCTGGCACATAGTAAGTGATTAATAAAAGTTGGATGACTGACTTGTTAGTTGGATATAGAGCTGTCTTTGAAACGATCTAGACTTGGCTGAGTTCAAGTCCCATCTCTGACACATATACGTTTTGTGACTGGGCAAATTATTTAACTTTTCAGTGCTCTAGCTCACTTAATAATAATAATGATAATGATAATAATAATAACAATAGCTAGCATTTATATAGCACTTTAAACTTTACAGATATCTTATCCTCACACCAACATGAGAGATAGGTGCTATTATTGTCATCCCATTTTATAGATGAAGAAACTAAGGTAGATAGACATTAAGTGACTCACCCAGGGATAGTAAGCTAGTAGGTGCTTGAGCTAAATTTTAACTCTGGTCTTCCTGACTCCAGAATCAGCATTCTCTCCACTGTGCCATCTAGCTGCTCCTCTAAGACTCTAAGTTTCAGAGAAAGTGCCAACCTGCATATGGAGAAGTTGCCCACCTGGAAGTTATCTACACTTATGAAATCACAGGTCTAGTCTCTATTCCCCTAGGTGGTAGTGTTATTGTTCAGTCAGTCGTGTCTGACTCTTCATGACCTTGTGGACTACATCATGCCAATACTGTCCATGGAGTTTTCTTGACAAAGATACTGAGTGGTTTGCCATTTCTTTCTCCAGTGGATTAAGGCATAAGGATAAGGTCAAGGACTTGCCCAGGGGCACACAGCTACTAAGAGTCTGAGGTTAGATTTGAACTCAGATCTTCCTAACTCCAGGCCTAGCACATTATCCGCTGAGCCACTTAGCTGCCTCCCTCCTCTAGGTGCATGTATATAAATGTATAAGCTACCTTTAGACTGTAAGCTCCTTGAAGGTGAGGGTTATCTTTTACCTCTTAATATATGTTTAATACTTGATTGACTGATTGATTTACTTACTCATCCAGACTGTAGCTCTTCAATTCTTTAATAGTCTCCATGAATTTATGTGGACAAAATTCATCATCTCACAGACAAATTGGTGAGGGCCATCTCTGAACTTGGATAACCCAGTTTTCAGATGGCAGACATAAAGTCCATCAATAGTCCATATTTGAAGCCTTTGAGCTCTGCTGGTATAAGCTTTGAGAAACCAGTGCTACCTCCCTCTCTGTCATGAAGAGGCATAGAAAAAGTACTTTAGTAGAGCATAGTTATAGAAGTAGCTTAGCAGAATGGCTAGAAAGCTGGCTATCTCGAGATATTTATGTGTATATACATATGAGCTTTTCAAGACTATCTTAAGATAAACAAAGATTATGTGCCAAAGAAAAAGAAGAAACAATAGAAGTATGGAATGAACAGTGAGGAGGAACAATTTCAAATGACCTTGGAGGTCAAAGCAGATTTGTTACCTAAAAGTTAGAAAAGAAAAAGGATAGGGATAGAGGAAGGCTGGAGAGATGTTGGTCCCCCCATTAGGATACCAAGGCATCCTCTTTTAAGTGCTAATGTGTGAATTCTGGGAATAGAGAGGTGAGGATGGTGTTTGCAGAGAATAAGAATTCAACAACTTATATTCTATTGTTGGGAATATATGCTACTTGCTTTTTCAAAGGGGCCACCTGCTCAAAGATTTTTTTATAGCAGCATTGTTTTTTATAATTGCAAAATACTAAAAACAACTTCAATGTTCCCAAATAGGGGAAAGGTTAAATAAATTGTGGTACATTAACTCAGTAGAATGCTATAATGCAATTAAGATGGACAAGTAAGAGAAGTTTAAAGAAGTCTGGAGTAACTTTATGGTAAAAAAAAAAAAGCAAAATGAAAAAAGCAGAACCAGAAAAACAGAATACATATTAACTCTGACCACAGAAAGGGAAGTCAATGAGAACAAATGGACAAGGAACTCTGATGGAGAATTAGAAGGCGTGACTGAAAAGTTGACATTTTATGCACTGAAATTCATTTATTGAAATGTAAATAGTTGCAAAGCAAGTTTAATTGGTTGTTCTGATGTTTAATATTAAGCTTGTAATAAATCATTCACGAATTTTGGCAACCTCAAAGAAGCCAGGCATCAAATATCCCGGTTAACTCATCGGATCACAAATTTAGAGCTGGAAGGGCCCAGTGAGGTCATGTAGTCCAACCACCTCTTTCATAGATGAAGAAACTGAGGTCCAACTATATTAAATGACTGCCCCAAGGTCACACAGGCAGGCAGAACCAAAACCGAAATTTGGCTATTTTCCTTTAGATGCAGCACTCTTTCCGTTGGGGTTTGGACAAGAGATTGGAATTATGAACCAGGTCAAATAAAGAATGGAAAAGACAATATAAAAATTCTACTTCCAATATGGTAAATCTGAAATATCCATGTCTCCTGGCCTTTATTATGTATTTGACTTCTAGATGGAAGTCAAATTAACCTTATGCATACTCCATGCATTCAAAGTAAGTCACTAATCCTCTGCTAATACACTTTGTGTCCTTAGCAGCTCTGATCCACCTCATCCTCCACAGTAAATTTTCAAGAGAGGAATGTGTAAACTAGAAAGCATCCTTTAGACCTGAGTTCTCAAACGTGCACTCCTGGGTCCCATGCTTTCCAGATTAAAATGTACTTGGGAAATATTTAATAAAATAAATAAAAATGCAATAAAACATAGATAATATTTTAAAACTAAGTCACTATGTGGCCACAGGGATGCTGATATGTGGATTAGAGTTTAGCATAGGCAGCCAGACATTTCATACTTGCTCTATTAAAGTTTTAAGAGTGAATTTGTATGGAATAACTAATAACAAATTCAAAAAGTTTACTCTGAAAATGGATTCACTAAATGTAATGTCCAAATTGTGACAGTGTTTCCAAGTTCCAGGCTTTTGATGTATAGCCCTCCTCCTTTAAATATGAGGTCTATATGATTTATTGAGAAGCAACATGATATGGTGAGTAGAGCACTGGACTGGGAGTCAGAAAAACCTGGGTTCAAATCCCTCCTCAGATACTTACTAGCTGTGTACCCTGAAGAAAATCACTTAATCAACTGATGCCACCATTTCCTCATCTGTAAAATGAGGGGTTAGTTCAATGATTTTTAAAGACACTTTGAGGTCAAAATCTATGGTTCTGTTTCCTAATATCCACTGATGCTCACCCTTACAGTATCAAGTGGAGACTAATTCATGCAAGACATTTACCGAGCACCCATTGTTTATAAGTCCCCATTCTAGGTTCTGTAGGAGATGCAAAGATACACAAGACATGGGCCCTCCTCCTAAGTTATTTAGAATCTTGGAGAAATCTCCAAGTAAAGGTTAGATGACTGCTCATTGGCTACATTGTAGAAATAATTTGTTTTCCAGTTTGGAGACAATTAGGTAGCAAAGTAGTTTGATCATTAGAATTGGACTTGGTAGGACCTGGGTTCTAATCCTGCCTCAGAAACTTACTAGCTGTGTGACCTTGAGCAAGTCACTTAATTTCTCTCATTCTCAATTTCCATACACATAAATAGGGATAATTATAGCATCCACCTAACAGGGATCAAATGAGATAATACATGTATAGCACTAAGCACGATATAAATGCTAGTACGGCCTGGACTAGATGACCACTGAGGACCCTTCCAACCAACTCTGAAACTCTGTGACCCTGTGCTATGCACGACATAAGGCACTCAGTGGCAAATACCACATGAGTGGGACGAATGAGGGCCTCTAGAGCAGGCGTTCCATCAAGAGATGATCGCCCAGAATTTCAGCTGCTGTTGACTGTGTTCCTCAGCGAAGGTACAAGAGGCGGGAGCAACATGGGCTGCTCTGAAAACCCAGAATGCTGGCCTATTTACTTGATTTAGGAAAGCTGGACAGGATATGTCTGGGAAGCTTGAATGCTGCCTAATAGGCTGTAAATAACTTTTGACCACTTGACCCCAGTCATGTTGATGTGACCCCCATCCGTTTTCCTCAACCTCGGCATCCTTCTGGTGCACACGCACCACTTCATAAATAAAAAGGGGTATTTACCCTAATTGTGGAGGGGGAACATGGTAATGGGCAGAGGTGGTAGTCAGGCATTTTATGAACAGTTTGCTTGATTTGATGCCATAGTAAATCACACCCCAGGCCAGCTCCATTCACTTTCTTATTTTAGCCCGGAAGACCATACACTTGGCTTGCCTTGCTAAGAGGCAATTCAGAGGGTCCCCTTTTCCTACCTTCATATCTGGCCTGGGTCTTCAGTGCTGTGTTCTAGTTCGAGCCACTCTCTGATTCTCTGCACATATCTCACTTGTTCTTAATTTTTGTGCCCCTGACAAGGCTCACTTTGGTCCTACAAGTAACCTTCCTTTACTGACCCCAGTCCATGGTAATTAATGTCTTCCCTCTTCTCCCCCCTTTATATCTATGCATTCAGTGTAGACCATTTTACTGCAGACTGCAGAGAGGCAATGGTGTTAAAGCTTTGGGGTTAAAACTTTACAACTCTTGGAAATGGCTCAGTGGATGGAATGCTGAATTTGCAGTCGGGAAGCTGAGCTGAAGTCCTGCTTCCTAAGTGTGATTCTGGGCAAATCACTTAACCTCTAACAACCTCAGTTTCCTCATCTATAAAATGAGTGGGTTGGACTCTAACTGTGTCCAAGGTCACTTGCA